CCATCTCTCGTAGATCTCCCCTAATAAGCATAGTATATTTTGCTGATAAGATGCCCTAATGCACTAAATATAAGCCCCAAACCCTAATCCCTAATCCCTAAACCCCAAACCCTAAACCCCAATCCCTAAACCCCAATCCCTAAACCCTAAACCCCAATTCCTAAAACCCTAAAACACTAAAACCCTAAACCCAAAGACCCGAAACCGTTGTCAGGGGAGCCCTTACGACATGGCACGGAAGTATCATACTTCTGACTCTACCTGCAGCCTACCCATAGGTTTACGGTTCATGGTTTAGGGTTTATAGGGTTTAGGGTTTAGGGTTTAGGGTTTGGGGTTTGGGGTTTAGGGTTTAGGGTTTAGGTTTAGGATAGGCCCCATAGTAGTTTCTTTTTGGATAGGTCCCATAGTAGTTCCTTTTTGGGACTACCTTATAGGGGACCCCCCAAAAGGAACTACTATGGGGCCTATGGGCAGTTATCAGATCCCAAGTATTAGGTCTTAACCTCTAGAACCTTAAACCCTACATGCAACAAGCAAATCCCACACCCTCAAACCTTTGCCATACGGGGGCTTCCGACAATACAGGACCCTAATATAGTACCCTAAATAGTAGGATCCTGATTATAAGGACGCCGAAATCAGGTACCCCTCATTTCAGAAACTCTCATGTAGGCCTTAATGCGCGCCAAACCCGAAGCCCTGCAGGCCGCGAAGAAGTGTGGGGGTAAATAGTTTAGGGTTTAGGATTTGGGGCTTAAGGGTTTAGGGTTTGGGGTTTAGGGGTTTAGGGTTGAGGGCTAAGTGTCTGGGTAACTAGTAATAGTACCCTAGTCCCGTTATTATCCCGCTGTAGACTACGCCCATAATCCTATTCCGATCATTCAGCCCCTTATGCCACACCTAAGCCCTCATCGCTTATGGGTACACTTATATCCCCATGTCATTCTACTCTGAGATACCCCATGTCGCTATTGTATCCATTACCCTATAAGGCTCATGGACCTCCATAGTGAAAGCCCAAAACCTCAGCCCCCGAAGCCCAAACCTTCCCCTAGAAAGCCCATAACAGCAATAAGAGCCTCAGGGTAAGGAATTCAGTTTAAGTTACCATAGTAGGGATCTATAGTGAATAATAGGTTTCCGTATCATGGTAACTTAAAATATAACCCTCAAAAGTAAATAATGGGTTTCCTGTTTATGGTAACAGCCCTCAGACCAAAGCGAGGTGCTTCCTGGCCATCTCCGTGTTGACTTCTCTTCAGAAGAAGTGCTTCGGAGGCGGGCACCCTAAACCCTAAACCCTAAACCCTAAACCCTAAACCCTAAACCCTAAACCTTAAACCCTAAACTCTAAACCCTAAACCCAAACAGTGGGCTTCGCGTTGAAGAGTGAGGAGTTCCGGGCTTGGGGCGTTTGGGCTTAGGGGTTTAGGGTTTAGGGTTTGGGGGTTCGGGTTCGGGTTCGGGTTTGGGTTTAGGGTTTAGGGTCTAGGGTTTCGGTTTAGGGGTGAAGGGTTAGGGGCTAAGGTCCCATGGAAGTATTGGTTTCTTTTTACGGAGTTCCTTTTTTTCACTTGTTTCTTCATGTTCTGGAGTTTGGGTTTGGCTGAAGTTTGTTGGAGATGTTTACAGGTTTTGTTGCATGTGCATGCGCTTCGGTTTGGGCCTGTCTGGAGCTGTTGTTTTGTTGAGTTTAAGTTGGGTTTCCTATGTGTTTTACCCGAGGGTATAGACCTGCGGCCTTGCTGTTTGGGGCTTAGGGGTTTTAGGGTTTAGGGATAAGGGGTTCAGGGTTTAGGGTTTAGGGATCAGGCGTTTAGGGTTTAGGGTTTAGGGATCAGGGCTCAAGGGTTGAGGGCCAGTTCAGGGATCAGGGTTGAGGATGCATGTAATGTATACGTAGTGCTTTTTTTGCATTTAAAGTCATCAACGGAATTTTGCACTTCGCAACCGGGAAGCCGTTTTGCTGAACACCTGAACATCGGACGTTCCTTGCGCACTTTACGCGGGTTTAAGGTTTGGCATGGTTTTGCCTAGGGGTTTGGGATTTGGGCTTTGGGGTTTCGAGAATGGGAATCGGGGTTCGGGTTTGGGGTTTGGGTTTGGGTTTGTGTTATGGTGGGCCCATGCTTTGGCAGGCGTCGCGAGCCCGGGACCCGAACCACGGCCGCACAAAAGAAGGGATCCAGAAAGCCCAATACTCCTTAATCGAGGAACATCCCTGCAATTTCACGGGTTGTATGATGCAAGGACTCTTTTTAACAAACGGGGTATTGGGCTCTCTGGGTAATGACGAGTGCCTGATTGGGGACTTCTGTTGGAAATTACGCCAGATTTCTTGTCTAGTGGGTCTTGGATTGGAGTCTCCGTCATCGTGGACTTAGGAAAGGTTTCGGGGTGAATCAGGCGGGGATCTAGTTAATCTAGTTTTACGCGCGGGGGTTGAATTGTTTTGGAGTTGAGGGTTTGGGGTGGTTCGGAGCCTTTGACTAAATTTCTGAAAGATGGCTGCAGCTGGCACCCCTTAACAAAAGATAGCCGCACTCCTGGTTTCTTGGCTACTAGCTTCCTAGTCTGCGCACACACACACACACATGTCGGGAACTATGTGGTGGCTGGTGAAGTTGTTGTACCCATGTGCGGAATCCCATCGATATACCATACCCATTGTGACCCACTTTGTAGTAGTCCCCAAACAGAGTGCTGGGATTCTCTATATACATGACTCTTAAGGATTGAGGCTATTGGCTTTCCAACTTTTGGGCTTCTGCACGTATGCAAGGTACCCAGCTCAGCAGACAAGCGTTTTCGCCTGTAGGTTCCAACGATATGTATATAAGCAGCAGGCGAAGGTGCACTCCTTCAGAAGCCTGAAAATTCGCAGTATTCCCTTGGGTTCCTGCTTATAGCTCTAGTCTGCCTAAAGCTCTAATATACTTGTGAAGGCCTCGGTATTGCGTCCGTAAGCATGTGCTACGTTCCCGAGCAAGTTGCCTAGACGTCAAACCGTAGGACAAGTTTTCCACGTTATTCCGCAACTCAAGCCACGTACCTTTTCTAAGCGGGCTTTGAGAGAGCTCGAAAGGTTGCGAACCCTTCAAGGCCCTTCAAAAGCTTTACATATGCACTGCCAGCCCGACGCCAGACTCACATGCCAAAGAAGTCCTCAGCACTCCACCTGTTAAAACCTGCTCTGAGGTCATGTAACCCTATAGGCCCTTCAACGGTCCTGGCAACAAGCCCCCTAAACCCTAAAAAACCCCAAACCCCAAACCCTAAACCCTAAACAAACCCCAAACCCTAAACCCTAAGCCCAAAACCCCAAACCCTAAACCGTGAAGCCAAGCGTCCCAGAACCAAGTGCTGAGCAAAGGAACCGCTTCCGAGCCCTTGGGAGGTGCTTCCGGAGTCGGAGGCGGGCTTGATACCTATGTTATTCTGGGGTTCGTTAGTCTAAATATACTATAATGGGCCTCAAAACCCTATTCTAAAAATATTAGGGCCCCTACATTACACCCTAAACTTTATCTCGGGGGCTTAAGGGTTTAGGCCCTAAACCCTTAAGCCCTACCCATAGGCCCCATCGTAGTTCCTTTTGGTGGCTTATATTTAGGGTTGCAATTTAAGTTACCATAATATGGAAGCCTACAAATTCACTATAGATCCCTACTATGGTAACTTAAACTGGATTCCTTACCCTGAGGCTCTTATTGCTGTTATGGGCTTGCTTGGGGAAGGTTTGGGCTTTGGGGG